AAATAATAATTATTTTTATAATTCATAGAATTTGTGCCAATGCATGTTTTATGGTTGGATAGGAGAGTTGGGTTTTTCTCATCCCATAAAACATTAAAACGTAAGAATTATAATTTATAAATTATAGTTAAGCATAGGATTTTTAATGAAATTATAATTAGCTATAATATATTTCTTCATAAAACTATTAGAATATATTAATTTAATGTATATACACCTCATTGAGGTCTTATATTTAGTGTTGTTGATGTATTTTTATGATTTATTAAAGTATTTATAGTGTTCCCAAGCGTATCTATGCATATCTTAGTTTTTTCCGATACACGTGCGTATCTAAAGCATATCCCGATATGTCTCTTAAAATTGCCTTTCCTATACACTTGGCATTTCCAATACTTTGAACATTGCACACGATGAATAAAAACGCCGGCTCCCCTAGATGACGACACTCACATGGATGATGACAACTTTTTCCATCCTTCACTCCTTCCATTCTTTTCTTTTTAATTCAACACAATGGAGAAGATAATTCAGCCTTTATTGTAAGAGTTGACATGAGGAGCAAAGATTTCAAGAAATGTTTTCTTATATGGAAAGCAAATGCCAAACCTGAGTACTTCTTTAAATCATAAAAGTACTAATTGTAAATAAGGTTTTGAAAAGATGCATGCAAATTCTAATTAAAATAAGTACAATAAAAACTTGGGGCATGTTCATTTGCTCTGAAATTTGACATCTGAAAGTGCAACAATTACATTAAGAGGTATATTGGTATTGGTGAACTTTTCTTTCCTCTAAACTCTGAATGCAGATAATGTTGTTTTGAACTTTGAACTCTGAATTTTGAAAATTATCAAATATCTATTTTGACCCCATATATTAGAGTTTTTGTTTGTTTTTTTGGAGGTATCATTGGAAAACAAAAAGTTGTATAATTGCACTTTAAGAGATAAGAGATAAGAGGAAATGAACAACCATTTTTCTCTTAAAGTTAAAAGATTCTTCTTAAGAGATAAGAGTTAAAAGGAAACGAACATGCAATTGGTATAGATATGCATCCCAGCATTAATTGGAGGGAGACACCCACCCAAAACCCATTGTCATGTCCACCCAGTAGGACATTTTTGCCTCGCAAGTTCAGTGAAAGTGGATGGATGACTCTCATACTCTTTATCTTACGCGTGAAACATCAAAATCCCAATTATGTAGCTTTTTTATTTTCAGTGTTTGGTTGCTTTAGGCCCTATTTGATGATTAAGTACTTGTTAAAAGAAGTATTTGCTTCACAAGTATTTTTTAGAAATACTTATTTTAACAACCACTTAAGGTTGTTTGGTAATCCACTTTTCAAATCACTTATTATGTTTTTAAGCACTTATTGGGGTGGGAATGTTTGGTAAGTTATTTTCCCCATAAATGCTTATATTGACATAAATGACTATTTTAGCCCTCACTTCTTTGAATCTTGTCTATTCTTTGCCTCATCTGCTCCATTACTGTTATCCGGCTTCCACTGCAATGACAGTGAAGCTTTATTGCAACCAGAGTCAGTTCACCGGCGTGGACATTCATATCCAAAATGAAGAGCAGAGAGGCAATCCTTCTTCAGTCGGCTACCAAAGGAACTAACGAAGAGGATCCTAGCCCACCTCCCCATCTCTTCCGTGTTCCGCTGCCGCTACGCATGCAAGTAATGGAAATCCTTGCCAACATCCAATTCCATCCTGGACCTCTGGGGTCAGTTCTCCCCTAGAGACGTCTAGTTCCTCATCTACCACACGCGCCACATGGTCGTTGCTTACAACCCACATTCCGGTCTCTTGAACAACCTCCCTCTGTATGATCGGTGTTCTCTCGACTCCTCTCAGGTCCTCTTAGCGTCCTCTGGTGGTCCCCTCTGCTTCCGTAACTGCAATTCCGATTACCCTACCTTGATCATCTGTAATCCTATCATTAGCTCCCATAGGGTCTTGCCCGATATGCTTTAAATTCAATACATCGATATCGTCAGCATGGTTGCTAATGGGATCACCAATTCGTACAAGATTTTGGTCACTGGAACCCCTGAACCTGATTCAAATGAGAGCATTACTGAAGTTCTTGAACACAGCGGTGGGAACACCATTGTCGGTCCCAACTGGAATTCTTGTAGTTTTGGTATGAAGTTCATGCGATTTGGCACGATGGTTTCTTCTATTGCCTTGCGACTCTGCTCAATACTTCGCAAAGTTACCGCATGATAGCTTATGATATTGGAAGGGGGAGTGGACTGATTTGAATGTGAAAATGCCAGTGGGTGATCTCCGATGCCCAGTCTCCCTGGTCTCTCTCTCTAATTTTGTGTTTATAGTAATGAACCCTTTTGAACACAAAAGCAACAACTGCTTTTCCATTCTTGGAATAACAGATTATTCACAAAAACACGGAGCACTTATTAGTCGAAGAAGGAATCACGCATTCACACAAAGCCCACTAACCTGTTCGGTTTCTCGTTGGACAGAGCGATTAGCACCGTTAGTCTTGTCACTACCACCAGATTTTTCTCTATAACAGAGATGGAACAATTATCAGGGACTGATTCGAACGAATGGAGGAGGAGGAGGCATAATACTTGTGGGGGTATTTTAGGCATTATAAAAAATTATCAGGTACTAATTTGTCCTATTTTTTTGGAATAGTACTTTTTTTCCACTTTTTTACCAAGCATCCATAAATACTTAAAAACCACTTAATGTGTGGTCTCATGTCTTAAAAGAAGTAATTCTTTTAAGTGTTCTCAAACACTACCTTTGTCTAACCAAATAAACCACTTATTATTGTAATTCAAGGGTCAATTTGGTGAGAGTACAAATACAAATATGAAATATGTACATACAATGCAAATATATACAAGAGGCAGACAAATCCAGCTATATATAAAGCAAAACCACACAAATTCAGCTCTGTTTTGCTCAGTTCAGCTCGATCGATCCCCTTGTTGAACATTCAGCTAAGTTGGTCCAACTGTTTTGAGATGTTCTAGATAAATTATTTAGAGAGATCGAAGAGGACAGCTCTTCAAAGCTTGCTTATAGGCTGTTTGTGTAGGGTTCAGCTTTCACGCTTGTTCGATCTTTGAAACTTGATTAGTGTTGATCGATAGTGATAGAAAGACAGCATGCAATTATTATTATTATTATTATGGTAAAATATAAAATAATCTCTCCTGAAATTTCATTTTAACAAAAACCTCCTCTATAGTTTTGAAAAGTCCTACATTACCTCCCTTTCATCATTGTCCTTATTATATGTTAGAAATCATGCTAGATTTGAACTTTTAGATTTCGCTTAATCGTAATGGGTTTACAAAACTAAATTACTTTTTAATTTGACCTAGGGAATTTTTTTTTAGTTAAACATTAAAAGTATTTTTGGAGAATTTTAGTAAATCTCCATTTAAATTGATAGATATAAGAGTAAAATGGTATTTTCAAACAATTAATGCATTAGACTAATATTTGTTTTTTACGGAGACAGTGATGGAAGAGAGGCAACTACATGATTTTTCAAAACTACAAGAGAGGATTTTGTTAAAATGAAACTTTAAAGGAGGTTTTTATAATCGTACATGGATGTTTTTACATTTTAAGGTAAAATCAAGGGAAGGAAATCTGCGAGCTGCTTGTTTGCTTCAATGGACCAGGGATCCTAGAACTTGTTTATTTATGCACTGAATAATGATCATAGAGTCTCCTCCAATGACCGTCCTTCTTTTGGGACAACCATCCTTAATTTTAATCTGACTTGTAAATGAAATTTCCATTTAATTAATTTTAAAACAATAGTCGCATAAAGGGAAGGAAAAAAAAAAACAATAGATGAATAGAAAAAGAAATACATAGCAAAAATATTAAGTGGGGCCGCAAATTAATGTTCGCTTGTGGGTTAAGTGCAACAATTAAAGTTTCTTCTAGGCCCTTCATCTTGAAGGGAATTTCTATGGTTTTTGTGTGTCATGAATCATGACACAATGCATAGTCCAAAATACAGGCTGCCTGCTACGGATGTAATAGGCATGTTAGGTAAGCACAATGAGTGAGCATGTAGTAAACTGTGTAACACATGTCCTAGTTAATGTGTTTTTCATCCAAATGTTTTTGTTTCATTAGACAAAAATTATCTATTATTTTATTATCTTGCCAAAATAATTAGAAATAAAAAATAAAAAATATATATAAATGAGTCCCAACTCCCAATACATTTAGGGTTTTTTTTCATTACTTTCATTTTTAATTATTTTGATAAAAATAACAAAATAATGAATAATTTATGTCTAACAGAACAAAATTATTTGGATGAAAGACACATTAACTGAAACATATATCATATCCTCACTCATTGTACTTACCAAGAGTGTGAACAAACAAATTAATTACTAGCAGCCCTGACTCGTGTGAAGAAAAAAGAAAATTGTAAGAGCACAAAAGATGAAACCATCACAAAGCAGCCGTCTAGGGGTTACATACTTGCATCGTTGTTTCTTTAGTCACCCGACTTGTAGCTTTCAACCCTTGGAATCGCTTTTTCTTTTACTTGAGAGAGAGGAAGTTGGGGTTGTGAGGCTGCAACAAACTTTCAAGAGCGTGGGAGAAAGTTAGTTTGAGCAGGAATCAAGAATATTCAAGGAAGGGCAGATGAATGGGATAATAAAGTTGCTGTCTTCGTTTAAAATAGCTAATGCAAAATTAGGAAGATCAAATGACATCTACTCATCATCCATCACTTATTAAATATAACCCATCACTCACACTTACTACTACGAGTGTTACTCACCATAACATATAAAATATGTATGGTATGGTCCCCCTACATATCACATGCATGCATCCAAGACCTTGTTTTTTTTTTAATTATTATCTCTTTTATTTTCAAATAGTGGGCCCTCTCTTTTTGAATTTTCAAATTAATTATAAATAATTTTTAGTGAAGCCAACTATAAGAATCACTCCTCCACCCCCTCAGCCAAGAGAAAACCCACGTGGGATTCTAATTCTCCTCTCTCTCTCTCTCTCTCTCTCTCTCTCTCTCTCTCTCTCAACACTCAAGAATCTAAATGGGTAGAAGCCCTTGCTGTGCCAAGGAGGGCTTGAACAGAGGAGCTTGGACTGCTCTTGAGGACAAAATCCTCACCGATTACATTAAAGTCCATGGCGAAGGAAGATGGAGAAACCTTCCCAAGAAGGCAGGTCTGTTGAACACATCGAAACAACAACAATTTACCTTTGTTTGCTCTTGCTCTACTTTTTAAGTGACAAGTCATCGTCCAATTAAGATGACCTCAAAACTAACAAATGTGGGTTTCATTCTTGGTTCCTTTCTCAATATTCCCACAGAATAATAACAACTTCTTTTCTCCTTTCCGATCGTGAATGGTCGCATTACATACATCCTGCAGGTCTCAAGAGATGCGGAAAAAGTTGCAGGCTTCGTTGGTTGAATTATCTCAGGCCAGATATCAAGAGGGGGAACATAACCCGTGATGAAGAAGATCTCATCGTCAGGCTTCACAGGCTCTTAGGGAACAGGTTTCAAATTTAATTTGCTCTCTCCTCCTCCTCCTCCTCTTGCTCTTAATTATTAAAATTTAATTGGTGTACGTGATGTTCATATTATTTATTTATAGATATTTCCATCTCTGCACCGCAGATGGTCCCTCATCGCAGGGAGGCTTCCAGGGCGAACAGACAATGAAATCAAGAATTACTGGAACACCAACTTGGGCAAGAAGGTGCAAGCTCACACCACCACCATTTTCACTGGTACTAAGAAGAAGACGACGACGACGACATCGACCAAGAATATTAGGGCGGTTGAGTCACCACCGATTCCAAAGCTCGAATCACGTGTTGTTCGGACCAAGGCATTTAGGTGCTCCAAAGTTTTTCTTGGTCCACCACAAAACAAAATGGAACAGCATACTGACAATGACGCCATGGCACTAGCCTCCAAGGTTGGCAACTTTTCAACCCAGAAAGCACTGGTGTCAGAATCCTACGATGGGCAGTCGTCCTTCACCCCTGAAAAAGAAAACGGAATTTCGTTGGATTTTACGGTGAATCTCAATCCCGGAGAGTTGTTCCTATCTGAACTCCTCAATTCTGACTTCTCGCAGCTCGGCGATTTCGATGACGGACTGGTGGGGGAAGTTAGCAACGATGAAAACAACAACAATAATGACTCCTCTCCGTCTTCCGATCAACCTCCCTTTTTCCCCGACGAGTTGTTCGAGTGGAAAGGAAGTGACTGTGGCCAATCGGACGTCATTTCCGACCTCCGATCATTGGCCTCTTTTCTTGATTGCGGGGAGAATTGGTTGGCGGAATAATTAATGAAATTAGTAAGACAGTTTCTTAATTCTAGTCATNCCCCCCCCACCACTGTGTAAGGCTAACTAGGTAGGAGTTCAAACCAAAATGAAAAGAAAGGATAGGATCGATTGTCTCTAGCTAGCTAGATTATATATGATTATGATCATGAAATGCACTGACTTCAATAATTTCTGGGCTGAACTAAATTATTTTCTTCGTTCACATCAATGATCAATCACGCATTTCATATGTTTTGTTTGGATGATCGAGATCAGGAACCAGCTGTAGCTGATACGGTGCGAAAATTAAGACTACTTGTTATTTTCCCATAATTATTTAATTGCTTTGGTGTGACAACTGACAAATGACAATACACCCTGTTCGCTATAGTTTTCCACTTTCCTCGATCGTCGTCGTTTCTTCCGCCGGCCGTTTCCAGGTGTCCACCCAATAAGCCAGTTGCACACTCTTCATTAATTGTATCTTAATTAGCTTTGGTCCATAGTGATGTATGGCTTTCAGGTGCAACGTCATCCATTAATATTGAAAACTAACTCAACAAATATCTTAATTTGCATCCCATGGAAGGAGAAGACAATACAGCGGCCTGCAGATCATCAATTTATAACTTATTTAAGTTAATGGGGGTCAATTTTCTAACAAAAATAGTAACAGACAATGCAACATATATATATGGAAATGTAATGAATTGTTACAACTGTGTTGTGTTCATTGTCTTCCATTTCACTATATTTTACAATAATTAACCAAACAAAACCAAATATCAAGAACCACCTAATGTTGATCTCATGGTGGGACCACCGTTGCACATTAATTGGCTATTCAGGTTTTACTGTGGTAAGATTAAAATTCTTGTTATTTTGGGGGGTAAATTATTGAAACATCCACTAAAGTTTCTAATAATCGCTAAACCTCTCCTGAAATTTTATAGTTGCAATTATCTCCTCTCGACTTTTCACACAACCGCAAGTAAATCCCCTTTGGTAGAATCTTATAGAAAAAGACAAAGTGTGTTCTAAATACCCATGTAATTGATGTTAAGGCAGAGGTTTCTATGAAAATAAATAATACAAGGGAAAATCTATGATAGCAGAAAGATATGATATGAAAAGAGTTTTGAGATATCATATCTTTATTGGTAGTTGTTTTACAGGTTACCACATTTATAATTCCAGTTTATTGGTAGTTGTTTTTCAGATACCATATCTTTTTCCATATTATCGTCGAACCCATAATACAAACTTTGTGAACAATAAAAAAAAAAAGAATTTAAACTTATAGCTTTACTTTTGATTGATTGATATGAGGGGCAAATTTAGAAAACAAATGTTTTTGTTAAAAGTAAATACATGTGTGTTTTGGATATTTTCATGCTTCTTTTTAGAAGATTATACCAAAAGGGATCTACTTGCAATTATATCAAAAAATTTAGGGGAAGTGATTACAATTGCCAAACTTTGGGGGATGTTTCAACAACAACTAGAAATTTCAATGCAGTTTCAGCAATTTACCTTTTTTGTATCTATTAGCAGGTCTAATTAAGATTGAAAAAAAATATTTTTTTCAAATTGAATTTGGGTTTGTTAGAAGCCATCTTCTTTGTGAAATTTACTACATATTTAATTTTGGAAAATACTTGTAATGTTATCAAATATGGTAGTGAAGATGATTTGAGAATTTCCAAGGTGTCTTGGCTGAGAGTCCCATATGCAGTTAATTACCAAAAGATGTTAGAGTCCGTGGGGTGTGGTTACAAGGGCAGAGAATTTTGCAGTCAAATTAGCTGAGGTGATGATGAAACCGAAGCACCATTGTGATCAAATTTATCTATTTATCTATATATATATATATATATATATATATATATATATTCCTTCTAATTATATCATTGAAATTGTCACGCTACAATAACGTAGGGCCTATTTGATGGTTTTTTTCATGCGGTCTTTCGTCTGTTTAGAAGCCGGGTAGACCGATTTACAGCGGGCGTTGATGTAGAGAATAGGGTATTTGACATTTTAAATATTTATAGAGTTGGAAATTTACATTGAACCCGTGTACTTTTCCGTACCGTTTCGAGGTTGGGTTTTGTCAAGATCGTGGCCCCCCACCTCATGCGTCATTCGACCTAAAATTCACGGTTGTGAAGTGAAAGAAGCACCTTGTTTATGTCTCACACCGTCGTACCTGGTACGCATTACACACTTTGCATATGCTTATTGAACCCAAAAAAGAAATGGTGTCATAACGTGGTGGTTAGCTTCTGGGTTCTGGTCTGGTTGGGTTGATGAAAATTGGTAAGTTTTGTTTGTGGCAGCAGGCAGCACTGACAATGAATCAAAAGAAAACACAGGACAAGTGTTGAGAGGAGAAGATAATTTATTATAAAGCCATCCACCTTTTGGGAGAAGGGCGTTGAATGGTCCATCTGCCCTTGAATAATTAGGTAAGTGGTTTCGATTTATAGGCACATAGGCAGGGTTGGTGACCCCGAGCCGAGAATCCATTATTTACCATTTCCCAAACGAGACCGGATTCAGCCAATGTGAAGCCCGTTCGAACACTCATTATATCTTTACATTTGAGAATATCTCCGCCATGAAATAAAGGAGCAAGGCTGTTCGAACGGGCCTTTCACCGACTGAAACCTATCTCGTCCCAAACTTCATCTAATTGGGGGAGTGAGGAGTGAGAATTGGGTGGGGCCTGTGGGGACAAACGAAAGTGATCTTGATAAAAAGTTAAAACCATATATGTTTCATGACTGCAGAAAAACTTTAGCCATTGGGGGCCAACAGCCTATATTGTTGAGAGAATTTTTGAAAATATCATCTTATATGAGAATGAGTAAATTAGTAATTATATCTAAATTTATTTTTACTAAAAATCAAAACATAAACATAAATAAATGAATTGTCCAAAAATATTCAATACAGAAACTGTCTCAACATAGCCTATACTGTTGGACCTCAACAGCCAAAGTTAACCTCATGACTGCGACTTCCTTATCTCTCATTCCAGAATGGCGTCATGGCCGATGACCCATGACCCATGGACCGCAGCTGCAACACCTTCACCGTCAATATATAGGAATTTTACTTTGTTTATGGTAAATGCATAATCTGTGGGTCTTAAGGCGTTTGTCCTTTTTTATATATGTATATGTTGTGGGGTTGTAAGTGTGGGTCCCCTTTATTAAAACCGAGTTCATTTCTTCTACAACACTATTGGATACTGTGATAGTGAAGGGCTAAAACACAATGTCTTATGTATTGTCCTAACCCATTAATATGTCACTTCATCTAATTCAAGATGGGGCATGACAACAAATCAAAGGGTTTGATTTAATTGTTTCAAATTACGAAACTGTCTTAACAAATGCGAGTTGATGAAATCTGTGGCCCAGCAGTAAGTTTCATTAAATGAATCATTAAAGGGCACTCCAGATTTCCTACCTGCAATTCACAGCGGATAGAGAATGAATAGGAAAAGTGAATAAAAAATTTGGACTCATCAAAGAGGTCAGTCCGTCTAACTCTTAAGCCACGTGTCCTTTGGCTTCTCTTAAAATAAGGAATGCTAAATACAGCCTAAATATCATAATATAATTGCTTTGATACTTGTAAAAATAATTAAACTAATCACATGTTTATTAGGAATTGGGATCTGCTCCTCAGATAGTGTATAAAAGTTTTCATTATCATTTTCTCATCCTTACTTCCATTAAGTACATCTTTTTTTTTTAATATATAAAATTAAGTCAATCACATGTTTTTAGTTGGTAGAAATTCTAGCCCGATCTCAATCACTTAAATCCAAACAACTCCTTAACACCATCAATTAATTCAAAAAAAAAAAAAAGTAATGAAAGAAACAAACATCTCTCTCCGTAGCATGCAGTGTTGCAGTAACGTTGGCAACCAACCTGCAAATCTGTGTGAATAATTGAATATGAGGAGGAAAGGATTTCATCACGTTTCTGTACGTTCCAATAAGTTGGATAGAAAAAATAAATAAATGAGGTTGATTCCAGACTCCGAAATGAATCCAAACCGAAAACGACTCGTCGGTTTGTGACCCTGGTTCTAAGACTAAGAAAAAATCATCACAAGGTGAAGGAGCTCATTTGAATTAATACGTACGTGTCACTTTCACACAAACAAACAAAATTTATAGACAAATGCAAGATGAACGACAAACGAATACGAAGGACTACAATACACAAAACATGAAACCCTGCAAAAAAAATCAAAATCAAAAATGCTGAAAAAGGAATAAACCCTGTTGGACCTTGATCCAATGCCCAACACTATTTGTTTGTGCAATTATTGCAGGAGTTGCATGAATCACGACACGATACAGTAATTTGAAGTTCACCGCAGAGTTCTGAATGAGAGCCCCCATAGTCTTTTAATAGCCACTCTCCTGTAAACTTCATCCTGTCCGTTGATTTGGCATCAATCTATCGTCAGGAATCCCCTTATATGGTGGGACTAAAGTTTATATCCCATTCATATCTCTGGGTGGGTTTCTTTTTGTTTTAGGGGCCCGGCCACCTATAAAAATAAAAAATGATGATTCAATTAGGACCTCCCAAATTAAAACAAGTAAAAAAAAAAAAAAGAAAAAATTTCCGATAACTACCTTATATTTTTAGGCTGAATGTCAATTTAGTACCCAAATTTTAAAACGCAATTTTTATTGTGTGATGATTCAATACTTAGCGTTAACTCACCATCAGTAGAACATCACGTGATATCAGGTGCGGTTTAAACATTTTCGTAATACCAAAACTAACCTTTCAAGAAAAGATTCAGACCGTCATACCCTTTTTCCTTCCTACTCTCCTAATCCCCTTTCTCTTCAATCTGGTTGAAGAAGAGAGGAGACTTCAATCAACTCCGACCATTTTACCCGGCGTTAACTCGCCCTCTTCATTCCGAGCACACTTCACTCAACTCCAGCGTCACATTTTGAGTGTTGGCTTCACCCAGTGCAGTACAAGACACGCTTGTGCAAGTGGGGGAAGATCAGAAGACAGATCAGTCCAAGTTTAACGTGAAGAGCCTCTTCTGGCATGGCGGCTCCTTTTATGACGCCTGGTTCAGTTGCGCTTCGAATCAAGTAAAACCCACAAAGACCCAGATAATAAAAATGAATTCCATTAGCTCCTTTTCTCAATCTTGTCTGAGGATTTTCAATCTTGCCTTTCATTACAGGTAGCTCAGGTGCTGTTAACGCTGCCATACTCGTTCTCTCAGCTGGGAATGCTCTCAGGCATATTCCAGATAATCTACGGCCTCGTCGGTAACTGGACTGCTTATCTCATCAGCGTCCTATACATTGAGTACCGAAGTAGAAAGGAGAAGGTGAACGTGAGCTTTAAGAACCATGTGATACAGGTAACCTTCCAAAATAACATATCAAAGAAAGCGAAAAAAGGAAATCAGGAGTTGCAGAAAATTCATACTTCGCCTTCTTAATTAATTCCACTAGCTACAGCATACCTACTGACTACCGTTTGTAATTTCAGTGGTTCGAAGTGCTTGACAGATTACTGGGTCCATACTGGAAAGCTGTGGGACTTGCCTTCAACTGTACATTTCTCCTCTTTGGGGTCCGTTATACAGCTAATAGCTTGCGCAAACTGAGCTTTTTCTGTTTTCATTTCTTTTGCATAGTTCCAAAAGCCCAAGAAATAACAAGAGCGCTGATTTGATTAGCTGATTTATGGTGGGTTCGATGATGAGAGCAGCAACATATATTACATAAATGACCGACTGGATAAGAGGACATGGACGTACATCTTCGGAGTTTGTGCGACGACGGTGTTCATACCTTCCTTCCACAACTACCGGATTTGGTATTTTCTAGGGCTCGGGATGATCACTTACACCGCCTAGTATCTGGCCAAGCCCAGCAACAGCAACTCTTGAATGATATGTCATGCTTCTCTCAGCCACGTCTTAGTTCATCCACTGTTAACTGATCTGTTCGTTCCAAGACCCTAACCCCTTCAAACCTTGAGGATCACTTTACTGTTGAAATCTCCTTGTCGCCCCGGTATTCAGATCAGGCAGCGTCAGTGGTCTTTTCCCCATCTCACAAATCAGCGGTTCTCAACCAGTTCCAGCAACAACAGAGCATGCTATCGCCGATCAACAAGAACGTTTTTTCCCCAAAAAAACGTTGATCATTCACTCTTACAGGCATCCTTTGGTGTACCATCCCCGGGTAGGATGTCACCTGTGTTCTGGAAAGAAAAGAAAAGAATCATTTATACAGCAATAGCTACTTTCTTTTCTGCAAATTCAATTATGGATCGTTCTTGAATCTTCATTAGGCCAACTTCAGTAGCACGTTTGCCATCTGTTGCAACTATAGCCACAGTGAATGAGGCATACGTGTTTCTCTGTGCTCTATCTGCTTGAACGAACCTCCGTACATTATTGATATTTAAAGCATATGCTGTGGCTTGGATTTAAGACCCCAAAATTTAAGAGTTAACCAGTGTCCCGACCACTGGTTGGAATTGATTTGGCCGGCGTTTTGAAATCCAGATCAGAATAGATTATTGAACTACTCGTTCAATCAACTGTCTGCCAAATGGTATAGGTGACTGAACCTTTTCTCAGTTAAATCCCTTCTAATGAACCTTTTCTCAGAAAGATGAGTTTCACGATGTTTGGCATTGAACTTCTGGCTTTGTGCGATGTCTCTTCTGTGTCTCTGATGTATTGGTCTCTGTTTCTGGTGTGTTTGTTTTTCGTTCTGGTTTTTAATGAAGCATCTGCATTATGTCCTAACCTGAATTCAGACGATGCAGCAAGAGACGACTCTATTAGCCCTGTTCTGATTTTTTGTCTTCAGATAATGGCGGAGAACAGTTGTGGTGTTCTGATTTAAGGGGAAGGGGGCATTTGTGTCTTTTTCTATGACATTCAATGGTGAATTACCGTCGGATACTAGATTGTTGTAAAATGAGAGTTCATGTACTAGATTGTGAAATTTTGAAATTCAGGTACTAAATTGGCATTAACTTTCCCTAAAAAACACCCCTACGATACACCAATACAAAATCGAAACATGTCATATTGTTTGGGCTTTTGCATCATTCTAGCCAGGCTTTTGGGCGTATTTGTCGAGCTTCTTACGTTTGATTGATTTCATGTCAAACAATGCTTTAAACCTTTAACCACTTCTTACTAAAAAGATTGTTGCCAAAGCCCCGGCAAGGGCAGCAATCTCTCGAGATCTATCTAATTAGGCCTTGGACAAATAATTTATATGGGTAAATATATTTATTCCAATAAGTGTTTTTTTAGGAAATATTTATCAAGATAAGAGCATTTATCAAATTTCTTTTATTCTTCAAGTAAAATATATAATAATCGATTTATCTAAAAAAGTAATATTATTTAAAAGAAAATTTTGTCCCATCAGGTATTAGTGTATTTTGACGCACATGAATAAATGATTTATTCAAATCTAAAAAGAGTGTTATTTTTTTTAGATAAATTAATTGTTCTAAAATCAATTTTTCCAAAAAGGAAATTGACTTTGGTTTGTTTGATTTAATAATAGTTTAATAATAGATTTCTTGGGAAAGGGGTAAGATGATTTTGGGTCATATTTTTACACCTATAATAATTATACTAAGATTGGTGATATGATGGTTGCAATTGACTAGGTAGATGAGTAATCTATGTTGAATGAAAATTTTAAATTGTGGTGAAATTAAGTGATGTATCTTAACATCATTGACAAGGACAAGAGCTGTGTCCACCATATTGGAGATGGGGTGATGGGGTGAGAGCATGGTGGTGTCAGTTGACAACTTAACAGCTATCACCCTATGTCTCATTGTTTAGATTATTTGAAAGATGATTTCAAAACTCTTAATGCAAGTTTTAACAACTTTTTACTCCAAACTCTTAATATTAATATAGTCAAGGAAGTTAGGCGAAGAAAAATTGGATGGGTATCTTGTAATTTTTCAATCCATTATTGATATAAATTGAATGTAGATGTTGTTAGTCAAGGGAACCCGGGTGACAGCTGTGGGAGTGCAATTGTTTGGGATGTCTCGAGAGGTTTTTGCTTTTCTTTCTACAAGTTTTATGGCTTGACTTTTTAGCTTTTCTGGATGGGCTACATTTTTGTCTCCAACGTGGAATCATTGAGTTAGAAATAGAAAGTGACAATGAGGTGTTAGTTGGTATCATTAATGGGACATCTCACCCATGATCAATTGACAACACTTATATAAAGATTAAACGAACTCTTGTTTATTCTTTGAGAGAAGAAAATAGATGTACAAATTACCTTGCAAGTGTGGGTGTGAATTTGAAAATCAATGCATTTTTTTTTTAATTCTCTTCTGAGAATTGGATAACCCGATTGTATTTGAGAGAGTGATGGTGAGTGCTTTTTGTATTGGGGATGGGGCACAGCAGGCTATGTCCTCCCCTGTTTATTCTGATTTTATGTTCGATAATGGTTAATAAAATTTGAGGTCCTAGAATAAAGCTTGGGGTTAAAAAAAGTCGTATTCACCATGTTAATGAACATGGAACATATTTGACGAATTTATGAGAACCCCGGCCCCAAACATTTCAAACCGTTGTAATATTGTCTTAGATATTGACGTCCTTGAATTATTATAATCGAATATCAAATTATCAAATTTTGTCAGGCCTTGTGGGTTTTGGGTTTTTCTTTGTCTTTAGAATGGAGGTCAGCCTAATTTAAAGAAAGTCATGATGTTAGAACAAATTCTCATCAACATGGGGTGGGGTTGAAGAAAGAGAGCCAAGAAATTACTCGGATAAGAAAGTTTATTACTCTAAGAAATCCATCACAGAGAGAAGTAAGAGGAGTAAGATATAAGAAAAATTCCTTCTGACAAAGCCAAGAACTTCACTGTATTCAACTCAATTTCTAATTTGTCTAACTTACATGACTAGGAGATTTGCTTAGAACAACCCCCCAAACTGATGATACCAGAACAGTTTTTGCACACCCTCTCCCTGGCCCTAAACACACACATTGCACTCCGTTCCTGCCCCCAAACTCCATCCCCCGTCCAATGGAAAACGGAGATCCCCAAATTTTCTCCACCCCACACCCCGATCATACCTACTTACAAAGCCACCACAGAACTAGAATGAACCATTTATGCACTTCCCCCATGGAAAAAGATTAAAAGAAAGGCCAAAAGAAAAAGAAATGAATACATTTAGGAAAAGAAAAATAACATACCAGTAAATCAGAGCCATTATGGATTTCTTGCCCACAACTCTCTATCCACCTGGAATTGTAGTTCATGGAGGGTGATTTGGCCCGACCTCGTAGCACGGGGGCACGTGGGTATAACCTGGCATAAGTGGCAGGTCAGCATGGCAGTTTGGCCATAACTCGGCGTACTAAACTCGTCGGAGCCCAGCAACACAACTCGGCGGACGTAGCAGCTCGCCAAGAAGAAACATCTAGCATACTCCGAATTCTCCCCAAGGGAGGAGGACTCCCGAGCTCCTCCCAGTGGGCCCTGAACTCTTCCTTCATGAGAAGGGAACACCCTGATCTACGAGAAGTATCCCGAAGAGGGGACACTTCAGAATAACCCCATTAACGCTTCTGCCCATACTCGTCTCAAGCACTCGCACCTCGGCTACTCCATCACCCCGGTGTAGGGTAGCTCGGACCAAGGCAGCTCGATGCAAAGTAGCTCGGCAACCTGTAGAAAAGATCTACCTAACAATAGTACCTGTTGAATCTGGAGGCTGCGCCCACGTCTCTTGTCAGGCGGCATCGTGCCTGCCACTTCTGCCAGATGTGGCACGCCTGATAGGTCCGTACCCTGCAACGGCTGCCACATCCACCACCTCGGCTCTGGCAATAACGGTTGTGGCAGAGGCGGTTACGCCTGATTTGAGAGATCTTCAATATAAAAAGACCCCGACCCTCGAAGAGAGGAGGTATTGAACTTGCGCCATCTGCACTCTCAACTCTTTGTTTGTATTCTTCAGTTTTCTCAGAGTTCTAACTTAAGCATTAGAGTGTTCCCGCCGAGCGAGCTCCTCAGGAATTCTTCACCTTCCTCCTCATCTCAGGTACCGTCCGTTCCCAACTAGGAGCCAGGTTTCCGTCAATTAGGAGTGCCCGGATCGTGCAACATCATTTGGCGCCGTCTGTGGGAAGCGCTTCAAAAAGCCTTCCTCTAATCTCCACAACTCCCTCTCTAAAATTCAGCATTCATGGCTTCTTCCAGCAATGACGGACGAGGTGTAAACCGAAACACTTGAGGAACATTCCCAACTTCCCACTGTCTGCATCGGACAGTTCACCGTCCCCCTCTCTGCGGAAGGAGTTCCCAGTCTGAACGTGCCTCAAACAGTGGCACCCGTGAACGTTCCACTTCCCCCTACGATTGAAGCAACCTTCCCAGAACCCTCCGTCATCCCTCCGGTGGCCAGCCAAAGCCAGCTTGAGGACCTGATGCAGTGCATGCGAGCTATGCAAGCTCAAATGCAATAGTTCCAACAACTTCAACTTTATTAGTAGCAAGTGCTGCACCAAGTTTCCCAGTATCAGTATCAACAGCAATTTCCCCCACTGCCTCAGGCCCAGCAGCCACTCCCTCCCCGGCATCCGGCCATGCAGCAAGCTAAGCCCCGCCGCCGGAACGAACTTCCTTCTCGTCGAGGAGAGACCTCGGCATCGTCTCGTGGCGGAAAAAAGAGACCAGCTACCCTGCCTCGCAGCCTGCAATCAGGTCGGGGGCCTCTCAGCCAATTAGGCCCGTGTCGCCTCAGCATTCGTAGTTCAAGCTCCCACTTGCGGAAAACCAGTTCGAGGTGCTGGCCGCAGACTTGAGGCAAGACCCCTCAGTTCACAGCTACCAACAGTAGTCCAAGCCCCTCCCCGGGCCCATCGAGCTCGGTAATACCGAAGCCAGCAGCACCAACGCCGAGCCAACAAGGAAGTAGCGGAGGCGCCGCCGAGCTCGCCGAGCTCCCACTCACGATCTGCCCAAGATCCGGGGTAAGGAAGAGGTAAGCTCAGGTGAAGTAAAAGTTACCCCACTTCTTTTAGTTCCTTCTCCTCTGTCGCCAGAACATCTTGTTGTTCCTATGCCAAAGGATTTCAAGCTTGTCCCACTGGATAAGTATGACGGATC